TGTGTTTAGTTATGGCAGTATGTTAACGACAGACAATTCTGGGTATACATGAGTTGGTTAAAGCCGTTTGATCAGTTTACAGCTGAGATGAGATAGTTCCAGAAGACTCAGCCTTTTTCTGACTTCTGGGAAACGTCCGTTTCCTCTGGACTTGGTATCAAGGATCAGGTTCAAAATACCATTTCCATGTTTGGGGTATGCCAAGTTTATTTATGCTAACATCATGTTTGGCCCAATTGAGCATCCATACTCCTAACAGTAGCACTAAAAATGCAAATATCTTATTTGTTTGATTTTTATTTTGCCTTTTTAACTCAAAGTGCCAAACATACCCAATACTCCAGCCTCCTATTTTCATCACAACAACCACCTATGAGATGTGCTGGGCTGCATGGAAAAGACCAGCTGACTTTCATGCCTAAGGCAGGACTCGAACTCTCAGTCTCCCGGTTTCTAGGCCCCTACCCTAACCACTACATGAAACTGGCTCTCTAATGCTGCTCTCATACCTGAACTTGGTTCGAGTTACTGTAACAGTGCCTAAAATACTTCTTTAAACTCTTTTTAAGCTAATTATCCATAAACCTAGATATCTAACAGCTGCTAAGGTGACTTGGACGTTCATAATGCACTACCAGGGTTTTTAAGTTTTAACTATTACGTTTTTCATAACCTACCTAAGAATGGAGGTGGGGAACAAAACTGGACAAATGGGGAGAGGGACCTTAAGGAGCCAGGAAGGCATGATGTCATACCTGCAAAGGGGAATACATCCAGCTGACCTTGGATGCAACTCTAAAGGAGCACAATTTTTCTTCTTCTTAGCATTTTCTCACAAGTGCAGGGTCTGTTTCTTTAATCCCTGTTCTCTCCCCCTCAGTCCTTCCTAAGATCTAGCACTGGTCATCCTTTCAGGACTGGTTTAATATTTATATATGACGGTAGTTTTCTTCCTGCAGAACAGGATACTGGTGGATCTTCAGTCTCTCAAATTCATAAGACAGCTCTGAAATATCGCTGCTTTTCAGTCCAGCCCTTGGCCCGAATTTCTTGAAGGTTAAATAAGGGAGGAATGGTATATCTTACATATGCTACCCCTGGTCTCTTCCCAGGAAGGGTGGGATATTAATGTGAGAAATCTAGGAATAAGGTAAATCCTGTTCAATTTGCTCAGGCCAGTGTTTCTCAATCTTGATAACTGGGGAATTCTGGAAGTTGGAGTCCAAGTATTGCAAACACTTACTTAGACTAAAGTGAAACTGGCAGAAACACCTTTTAAAATTCATGTTTTTAAAAATACAGCTCTAAGCAGAAAAGTGGCAGTTGGTTGCAGGATGGAGTGAAAATGTCCGTTCTAGCCATTTATCAGCAACAATAAGAAACCATATCTTATGAGGAAACATAAATTAGCCATTGTAAAATGAATAGCAATTACCAGCCACAAAATGTGAACATAACAAACCTCAGTGTTGTTGAGTAGCCCAGTCTTCAAGTCTATTATTTATTTCCTATCAAAAGCTGACAACAAAATGTTACTAACTTAACCAATGCAATGATTCACTTAACAACTCTGGCGAGAAAAGTCATAAAATGGCAAACTCACTTAACAACTTAGCAATACAAATTTTGGATTCAATTGTGGTCATAACTTGAGGACTACCTGTATTTCCCTGCATTTTCTAAGTGGAGTCAGGCCTTGAAATTTTCTGCCATTCTGCCATCAAGTTAATGTGCAAGCCTGGCTTTCCTCACTCGCCTCACGCCATTCCTATGTTCCACACAATATAGCGACAGTACAGAGATGCTCTAGAAAACATCTTTAAACCATAGACAGCTATGCCTCATTAAGACTGGGAGATGGAATGTGCAGCTTTGGATAGGCCTTGGTTGTAATAGTGCGGAGGCCTGAAAATATACATGCCATGCATATTCTGATTTTTAGAGCCATGGTGGTGCAGTGGTTAGAATGCAGTACTGCAGGGCTAACTCATTGCTCACTCCAGGAGTTCAATTCTGTGCGGCTCAAAGTTGATTCGGCCTTCCATCCTTCTGAGGTCGGTAAAATGAGGGCCCAGATTGTTGGGGGCAATAGGCTGACTCTGTAAATCGCTTAGAGAGGGCTGTAAAAGCATTGTGAAGCAGTATACAAGTCTAAGTGCTATTGCTATTTAGAAGGGGGGAGGTGTCTGTGTGTGTGTTTGAGGGCTGCTGTTTTTAATAAGTAATCAAACTAATAACCGCAAAGTGTGAGGCTATATTTATACATAGCCTTTTCTGTCCATACTGAAGGACCATCCAGTTGACTTGAATTTCTGCCATGGTTAATACTCCTCCGCACAGCTAACTTTACTATTCCACGTTTACATTGTAAAGAACTGGTGTGAACCTTCAAACAAAGCATTTGATAACTCAAGATTAGCCCAGGACTGTTTTTCCAACAGAACAGCACAATTTTTTCAAAAGTGGAAAAAAATTCATGTCAAGAAGTATCCTAGGAGATATAGTATAACCAAAGAACTACTTAAAGCAGAAAGGAAATGAGGATATAGCTTTCCATTGATGACATTTCTTATTTGCCTTTTTACAGTATAAAGGTGTATTGATATACAATATATTGCATGTACATATATGCAAGAGAGTTGCCAAATGGCCAGAAAAGCAACGATTATCATTTTGCGGCTACAAAAAGGTTGAAATACCTACACTTCAATAGATTAAGTAGCTGTTTCAGACATTGAGTCTGGCTAAAAGATGGCAACCCTGGATGACCGTTAACAACACTGTAGTCCTCTAAATAAGTATCTAAACAATGTACCAAGAGACTGTAAAATAGGGAACTTGGAAGCTGACCTTACAATATACATTATTTCACTAATGCATTTGGAAAACGTATTGTGCTTTATAGAATTCAGCTGACTCTGAAACAGCTAGTATCTTGGAAGAAACGTGGTCTGAGAAAATAAGTAGAACTTTGGCCTAGCTGATAACACTAGAAAAATACAATCTGTCACAATTAACTATGTGTCTTGGGAAAAACCCACATACCCTCATGTATTCCTAGCCAATGAAAACACCCGGCCAAAATCTGGAGAAGATTGTCAGTGAATCCAGCAAAAGCATGCTTATTTAATTCTACTCTATTTCATGTATTAACAACAAGCCAGATGACTCTTCTTTTAAATTAGCAATGTCCCTTGCTTGGCATCACAGCAGAACCATATATCACATAATTAACTCCTAATTTTACAACACCATAAAATATAAAGTCATAGATATAGACAATATATAGATATAGATATAGATATAGATATAGAGATAGAGATAGAGATATATAGATATAGATATAGATATAGATATAGGTATAGGTATAGGTATAGGTATAGATAGATAGATAGATAGATGATAGATAGATAGATAGATAGATAGATAGATAGATAGATAGATAGATAGATAGATATGGTAATGGGATGGTGTAGACCAGGACAGGTCAAACATGCGGCCCATGGGCTAGATCCAGCCCACAATAGGCCTAGAGGTTCCTACTGGACTGTCCTGGAGACAGCGAGGGACCGGCCCATGCCGCCTAGCCCACCCGCCCAGTCAGCCACAACGACCAGGCCATGCCCACTCAGCCCCCCAAAGGCAAACAAAATCTTGATACAGCCCACAAGTTTGACACCACTGGTGTAGGCAGAAGAATGAATTATATGCCAGTAATAGGAACACCCTTGAAATAAAAATGTAGATAAGGAAATGCAGATTACCAGAGGACTGGCACTGGCAGAAGGACAAAATGATGTTGGAGCTCCACATAGCTGAGGTCACAAATTAATCATTTGTGAGCTCAAAGGTTCCATCCTGGAGTGCTTAGCTTTTCCCACACCTTCTTCTGTCAAAGAAAGAAAGGATGGACCATCTCCTCGGGCTCTGTACCTTCTTCCCACTGTTTCTGTCCTCCTTCTCCAACTGTAAGCAACAATATTCTTGAGTCTTGTTTCCCAAGACTAGGAAGAGAGGAAGGTTTTGTGGGGAAAAAAAACTCAGAACATGTTGGGATGAACTGGTATATTTGAAAAGGAAGATGCAAGTATGGGCACTAAGTTGATGGCAATAAACTCTTGTTTAGAAATCAATATTCCATTAAAAGCAGAATTTTAAAACCAAATGGTACCAGCGGTAGCAGGCGGTATGGAAGCATTACCAACACCTTACTGTGGCTTACCTGCACATTATTGAAAGAGGAAGTGTAGCATTTATTTATTCATTTTATATAACCACCCATCTCACATATATGACTCTGAGTGGCTCGCACATTTAAAGACAGCATTGCTTTACATGAGATGTTAGCTCATGGTTTGGAGATTTGAAGAATGATTGAAGGGGTGTTACCCGGTACACTCTTTGTCAACTGAATAACCAGCACATTGACAAGACCTGGAGCATTTATTACCCTGTAGCATGGAAATCTAAGATGGGAGTTTATTGCTTTGTGTAGTCAGTATATTATGAGTGTTACAGTATGCATCTCCCAGCTGACTGGATTTGGGTAAGGCAGCTTTTGGGTTAAAAGTTTTACCTGGCATAGATCAAGGTGAATAGGCTGAGATCAAACTAGGCGTTGGTTGCATTTGTGGCATATTGGCCACAATGTCCCCAAACTAACCAATACTCTTTTTCCTGTTAGAAGGGAACCTTATGTACACCATAGGTAGAAAAATGCTGGTAACCTAGTTATCTCTTCTATGTCTTACTAAAAAAATCTGAAGCGTGAAAGCCTTAATTGACCAAAGCCATGATAGGCAAATGGAAATCCTATCTCTGATGCCTTTTTTCCACCTTATTGGTTGTCTCTCATTTCCTTTGTACTACTTACATTTCCGCTCTTTTGAGTAAAGTTGCGTACCCAAAAGGGAATAATGTGTTGGGTCTGTATACTTGTATGAATTTCGTTGGCAGTTTGTGGCCTTCAGTACCCAGATCCCAAGTTGGATAAAGCTAACATGAACTCTGAATTCAATGGAGCCACAGAAGCCCCATGGCTCGTGAACATCTATGGAAATGGCCAGAGATGCCAAGGAGTTATCCTGAGCAGCTTGTGGGTCCTGACAGCAGCCAACTGCTTCTTGTTGATGTGAGTATTGACAGAGTTGGAAGCCATTTTTTTTTTCTCCAACTCTGTCCTTAGAATGGGTGACTCAGCTGAAGAAGGTAATACTTAACATCTTCCAATCTAATCAGAAGGTCCTGCGGTTGGGGATTACAGAACCAAATCCCTGGGTTGGATTAAAACATGCCATTATGATCCTGAAGATGAAACTCAAATACTCTGGCCACCTAATGAGAAGGAAGGACTCACTGGAGAAGAGCCTAATGCTGGGAACGATTGAGGGCAATAGAAGAAGAAGGGGACCACAGAGAATGAGGTGACTGGAGGGAGTCACTGAAGCAATAGGCATGAGCTAAAATTGACTCCAAAAGATGGTAGAGGCCAGGAAGGCTGGGAGGAATGTTGTCCATGGGGTCGCAATCAAAGGTGGTATTCAGCCAGTTCTGACAGGTTCTGGAGAACCGGGAGCAGACATTTTGAGTAGTTCAGAGAGCAGGTAAATACCACCTCTGGTTGGCCCCGCCCCCATCTATTCTCTGCCTCCCGAGTCCCAGCTGAGCAGCTGGGTCTTCTTTTGTTGCCCTGCACAGGAGAACGGAGCTGGAAATCAGGTTAGTGGGGTGAGGAGGGAATGGGTACAGTAGCCTTCCCCTGCCATGCCCACCAAGCCAAGCTACGCCCACAGAACCAGTAGGAAAAAAAATGGAATACCACCACTGGTTGCGATGGGTCGGACACAACTTCACAATTAACAACAAAAATCTTTGCCTTGCAGGAATCCGAGCCAAGTAGAGTTGATCGGGTCTCCTGGGCATGTCTCCACCAAGGCAGTGAGTCGGTTTCTGCTCCATCGGGGATTCAGTTCCTGGAATACAGCACCCAATAATGACCTGGGTCTCATCTTGCTTGCCCAGCCGGTTGATTTAACAGCAAAAGACATGTGGCCAGCTTGTATTCCTCAGGAAGAAAAACCATATAACACCCAGGAGGAATGTAGGATTTTCGAACGAGGCCAAGACGGTGAGTTTAGACATGCTCTACCATGCTTTAGGACCCAGGAGACTATTTATTTAGCAAACTGATCTAGGGCTATGGGTCAAAGGTATCAGCATAAAGGTCATGTTGGGTTTTCTTAGCATAGCCTAGCAGACTATAAAATGGATTTAGTCTGGCACATCTGTGAGAAATACTATAAAAGCAGAGAAGCTGGTATTACAGCCAGAGTATAGCATACTGAGATAATTAATTAATTTTTACCACCCTTGTGGCTATGGGAATATTTTAAAATATATACTGAGAAGCTGGAGGAGAGCACAAGCAGTTCTTTCAGCATTCAAGAATACGAGATTTCAAAACTTGTTCGCCTATTCTAAATCCACATTCCTGCATATATAGACTGAGACGAAAGAAGCTTCGGGCTGAATGAGCCTCATGCTATGAGTTAGACTAGTTGAGAACCTTCTCTCCTTCTCCACAGGATCAATGAGATGGTTCCTAAAGGAGACAATGGTGGAGGCCTTGAGCATAGCTGACTGTTCCAAGCATTGGCCGAACACTACAGAAGGCAGGAACTTATGCGTGGTAAAAAAAGATTCTCCCAAACTCACAACTTGCAAGGTAACCCAAACAAATGGATTCCTTTCAGGGGTGGGATTCTACCAGTTCGCACCTATTCACTAGAACCAGTTGTTAACATTCTAAGCAGTTCGGAGAACCGGTTGTTAGAAGAAATTATTGGCCTAATCCTGTAAGGAAGGCAGGAAGGAAACATTCTGGTGTTGCTTACAGAAACTGCTTCTCCGTTAACCCTTATTACATTCTTGGCAGGACTAGACTTCCTGTCTCAGGAACCTCTCTGGAGTTTTTTTTCCCCTCCTTTGCTGGTACTTTGCTTGTGTGGAGTGACCATTCAAAGTTACAATGGCATTGAAAAAAGTGACCTATGACCATTTTTCACACTTACGACTGTTGCAGCATCCCCACAGTCATGAGAGGCCAGGCGAGGAGATGCGTGCCTCGATGTGAGTGATATTGAGTTGGCCACGCCCAGCCAATAACATGACCACCAAGCCATGTCCACCCAGTCACATGACCACCAAACCACGCCCACCATCTAAGCCACGCCCACATAACTGGTTGTTAAAAAATTTGAATCCCACCACGGATTCCTTTGGACTGTAAACGTGGGGGGGGGGAAATGTTTCCTCTTTGATTTTCAGCACATTTTACTCCTTTTTGAATTTTCCACTGTTCTATCTTCTAGTCCAGGGTTGTCAAACTCAAGGCCGGCCAACTGGCCCATGGGGTGCTTAGATCTGGCCCACAGGGCTGCCCTGGAAACAGCAAAGGACTTGTGCACGGTGCCTCTGCCAGTGAAAAGGGAACTTGGGAGAGCTGCGCACAGCCCTCCCAGGCTCTGTTTTTGCTGGCAGAGGCCATCGCGGTTGAAAACAGAGCCTCGACAAGTAATGTCAAGCTGGCCACGCCCACCCTGGCCATGCCCCCCACATCCCCCTGAGGTTAAACACAAACTTGATGCGGCCCTCAGTTAAATTGAGTTTGACACCCATGTTTTATGGCATAAGGAAACTCATCACTATTATTTCAAAGGGTAAGGGAGGCCCTCTTCATATACTTCCAGCACTAGTTTCACTTTTCTAGGTCCAGAGTCATTCTGAATCACCGCATCTATTATCTACGCTTACAGAGGCAGTTGGGATTTGACAAGCAAATAATCCTCTATCTGACATCAGGAGAAACATAGCAAAATATAGCAAAAGTTATGTAATGTTGCAGAATACAGAGCCATTACGGCGTTCATTGGCAGAATTCCTTATTTAACTTATTTAAATAACTTATTTGGCCACTCAATTCATTGCCAACAAGTCTGGATGATGTACAGGAATTAAAACTAACAATAGTTACATCAGTAATCCAAGTAATAAATGTCCAAGGTCTCTGTCACACATTAAGAAAAACCCCAATTTCAACTTTCAGTAGGAAAAAAAAAACCCCAATGAAAACCAATCAATAAGGAGGTGCTTGCTTAACCTCCCAGCCCAAATGCCTGGAGGGATATTACTCTTAGGAAAGCCTAGCCAAGTTTGGAGCATCCACATCTCAGATATGCAGAATTTCTCAGATATTCCACCAGCAGGGATATTCTAATATTTTATATTTGTAGTATCCAAATTTTAGGATTTGACTCCATGGTCATCTTGATGGTTTGATTCTCATGCCCTCTCCTCTTTTCAGGTGCCAGTGGGCAGTCCTGTGATCTGTCATGATCCATTTACTTGGGAATGGGAGGTGACGGGCCTCGTAAGCCAGAGCTTGCACAACTGCACCATCCCTATCCTGGCTTCTCAGCTTTTACCCCATATACAGTGGCTGAAGCAAGTGGGAGCCTTAGAGAATTCTCTCCAGCCAGAAGATAAATTACCTTCAGCAGCTGGACAGCAGCAACCGGTAACATTATTGGGACCAGCTACAGTTCAAACACCATCGGCAACTCTCCAAGTGCCTGTAATACTTCCAGCTGCAAAACAAATATTTAAACTGCTATCATCAGAAACAGCCATAACAGCCTCACTACCTCCAGTGCGAGCAATCACAACAGCCACCCCTAAATTGTCATCAACCAATCTGCCATCACTGGAAGCAACTATAGCAGCTACCACTGCATCTCCATTGACCAAACCTCCAACACTGGAAATAATCGC